ACTGCATACTTGCAACTAACTTGTATGTCCAATCACTCGGCAAGTATAAACACAAGTAAATAGTCTGCCACAGATCAGAACATTGAGTCTAGAGCATGTCTCTTACGAATACGCTCATGTTTAACGATTTGTTCCTAGCTATCTGTCCAAAATTCATATAATCATCACTCACGTATTTAAATTTTGTTTTGATGAACATTCATGTGTATTAGTAGTATTACTAAATTCTATCACGGTCAAGTAAAAATGAGGTTGAGAAAATCTCCCCGTAACTAAATAAACCGTATCAAACTAACTAGAACACTAGTTGGAATTCTTTACCATGGTAATACTTTTGTTCCTTCAGTTAGCCTACTGATACAGATGCAATTGGAATTCAACTCATATGGACAACTTACCGGCATAATCGTTATCCGATTTCATAATTTAAACCAAAACTAATACCAATATTAACATTTCTACAATATTCATTACTTTAATATTTCTAAACACAAAATAATTACTGCCTATAAGTCAAGTTATTAACACGCATCGTTTTATTATTATTATTATTATTATTGTAATCCCATTTTTTATAGTTCAAATAATCGTCAACCAAATTTTCATTTTAAGCGTGTTAATCATGAAAGCAGATATTTTAAGATTATTACATGTATTTCCCGACCAGATGCTGCCGTCTTTTTGATTTATCTTTCAGCTTACCAATACCCGGAGGATTCTTATTATCCTTGGTAACCTCCGGCGCGCGACGATCCCATCCAATTTGGTATCGAACCAACATCACGTTGATTCTGGTGGGAGAGTAGTGTAGTGGCATTGGACAATAGCCACACAATCCACAAAGCTGTGAACACGAGACTACTCAGAAAATAGATATTCAATATTTAACGCGGAGAAATACCTAACAATGGAGAAGGCGCGGAGAATGAATTGAATGGATTGGAGTTGATCAGATGGCATGGCTCGGCCATGCAGGCGTGGTCCATCTCAATGTTACGTCATATCTTCTATTCATATTAAATATATTGTTCCTTCTCTAACCTAACCTTGTTCTACATCATGTATTGGTAATTGATACGATACAGTGAGTTGGTGTAGTCGATGGTGTGACTTCCACGTAAGATCTTATAGATTAGGCAGTTATATCATGACAAATCTACAAATTTAGGATTAGGTCTATTACTAGAGCAGTACATATATCATAGTAGACCATAGTTCTACACGTTAATGGTGATGGGACTGCGGAAGTAGCGACACTGAAAAAGGATGGTGTTACTAAAACAGATATCTGTACACTCTGTTCTACTGAGGACTACAACTAATGAATAGCACCATAATGTAAGAGGGGAGGGTAAGCATGATGATGTAGATCCTGCCAATCCTTCCGAACACGCTGTCACTAGGGTGAACTACAATTGTGTCTGAGAAACTTTTGTGTTACTCGGTGAGATTTTTGGTGTTCGCTTGTCAATGGTTGTTTTTGTAAATGTGCTTTTCATAAAAATCCTCTGAATATATTTAATATGACAAAAACGCTTTGTTCATCCCCTCATATGCTAGGTTTATACCATTTATTCAAGTAGTTTGCTTCTGAATTTTCATGGCATTGTTATTGCCCGTTTTATCAACAGTGTTAGTGAGCTTAGTGTGTACTTTGTTCTAGTGAGATTGTACGAACTGCATTCAACGTGTTTCAATTGACCTACAGAATTCGCGGCTGTGGTATAGAATTTTCGGTTTTATATTGGTGAAGATTGAAATAGATGAATCGTACCACTGTATGACGGATCACTACCCAAAACAATTTTTCAGGTTTAGCCGGTCCAAACTTATGGAAAGTAAATGTGGGAAAATTTAGAAATACAGAATCGTTAATAGAGAAATATTTCCGTGAGAATGTGTTTTTAAAATTATTGGCAATCTGCATTTAAGAATCACCAAAATATACCCAAACTGGACAACATTGATGAAACCATGAATCTCTCTTCCATGGTTCACAAAGAAGGAATGTATGAAAAATATTAAGTTACTGGAGAAGGATGCAGGGAAGTTGAGAAATCGATACCCCAATATACTTGTGCTCCAACCCTACGTACGTCAAGAAAAAGGTACAAGTATTCTATGAAGGAGCGAATGTTACGAGTTTTTACAAGACATTAGAAGAATTGTTTGTCTATATTTCATTGCCTAAGTGCTAGACACTTGCATTACTGTGTATATATTCAAATGGTTCAAATGGTTGTGGACGGAATAGAAGAAGCTTTCGCTTAACAGGCTTCCGTGTCTAGTAGCAGGGGATCACCAAATCCTCCAGGCAGGAACCTAGGTATGTTAACAATAAAAAAGGAAAAGAAATTGGTAAATCATAATGTGATCCTGTCCTTGGTCCTTAAGAATAGGTCAAGTTGCCTCTTGAAGGACTCCTGAGAAGTCGCTTGGACTAGCTCGGCCAGTTTTCTTGTAAATTTTTGTCGGATGTCTATAAAGTTACTCTGTATAACTGTCCTTGCGTTACGACTAATTTTGTGTTCAGTCTTCCAATACTTATGGTTTAGTTATATGCCTGTTATATCCACCATTTGTGCTGCCTGTGATGTCAGGTAATTAGTTTTTGTTATCACACGAATTTCTTATCATGGACTGAACAGAACGGCAGAAGTTTATCTCATTATTATGCCTTTGTTTAATCATGGCTATCTGGCGAGTGACAGCACGAGTTTAGATAAATAGCAAAAGGGACTTACTAATCCCTGTCGTTATCCCATTTTCAAAAAGTTATTAGTCAAATAAAGACTACTATGCCATTGGTTAGCGGAAAGCCATTGGCTTTGTACAAGTACTGTGTGTGAATTTAACGCCATGACCTTCAAGCTAAATCAGTTTTGTGTGAGGAATAACTGTTTAGGCTCTATCACCCGATCGAAACGAAAACAAAATATTCGGGCAAATGATGACTATTAATTTTGTTATAAATTTGAATGTACATTATTACCTTGTAGAATTATAGAAAATTCCATTATCAGTACATTTATGTCTGCCACCATTAAGATAAACTCAATCTCAAAGTCGTTGATTTGTGATGTGAATACCTCACCTAGAGGATTTTGCGTGAAAGTCAAATCAGTATCTATACTGACTCATCCTACGCGACAGTCAGAAATGTGATGTTAAGCAAATATGATGAGCACATTTCGGTAAGGGATAAATTAATGCATTTAATATGGAAAATTATGGGTTATACAGAATGACCACGCCTCCATGGCCTAGCCATACCGCACGGATCAATTGCACAGACTGAACCAATTTCGATAACAGAATTTAAAATGTTTAGGGTTGAAGACATACTGCATGAAATGGATTCGGACAATAACGGTTCGCAAGTATGTTTCAACAGTTTATTCCGAAAACAAGCAGGGAGGAAGGCATCGATGAGTGAAAATATGTATATTTGATATTAAAAAGATGTAATATTAATGGTGGCTGTCTGGAATAGGCAGGTGGTTCGAGTATGATTGGGATATTGTATGTTACCGATGCTTGATTGAATACCTTCAGACAGTGGTCATAATCAAGAACTTTTCTCTTCATCAATCCAATTTAGCCGGGCTGAAAAATAAACAAACAAATGTATGAGTTTTATGTAAAGCGACTTTCGCATGAACTTTGAAAGCTTATTGAGGGTCAAAACGACATGGTAGTGTAGCAGTAAATAAATCCTCAAAATCAATAGCTATGTAAGTCTTCGACATTTGATGCTGTATGTATTATTTTTAATGGACTCACTTAGATAAAGGCACTTGATCACGCATCCATACCAAGTCACTAGTGGATACGTCGTTTAATACATTCCTTTCAACTACCAGCTACCTCAGACTAAATATACAGATAGCCCTCCAAACATATCTGCAAACTATTTCATTTCTGACTTGACTGGGTTGGCATACTTTGATCATAAAGGAGGTCACGGTTAAGACGTTGTCTAACTTCAAATACACTTGACATCTTCAGTAGTCCACCATTTTATGTTCACCCATTAATTCAGTAGCCCGTTGGTCTGACCCCGATTCACATGAATGAATGAATATTTCGCGAGTATAAATCCTCCGTTTATTTCCTACTTACTACACCATGACTAAACCTGTTTGAAATACCGAATGATATCAAGCGAAATACGGATTTAGCAGGATGAATTTAATTCAGACATTCGTTTACTTAAACAGATATTGAAATAGGAAGAAGAAAAGGGAGGGAAGCAGGTAAGACAGGAGTTTGGCTCCGTTTGATAAAATGAAACAAACTTTTTATGGCTAAAAAAATCAGCTAACGACTTAAGAAAGATCTCTCTTTCATCTTTACGGATTCGTGTCTTGATCATAGGTTTGAGTCCGTAGAAAGTTCTCTATAAGCCCCCTGGAGGAATTCAGACGGAAAATTTTGACGTGTATGTCACAAACTATTGAGGTGATATAGACTGACCAGGGTATGAACTAGTTTTGATTGTTATTGAAATTAAGAACACGGGATATTTTAGAAATCTAAATCCATGGACTATACCCCTATCATTTTTGAAAGCATCATCCGTCCCTCTTCCAGATTATCTTTTGTGACTGTTGCACACAAGTCCTTGGAGTTTTAGCCGCTAGTGTTGCCAAATGGTTCATTTTTCACAAAGACAAATAAACAAGATCTACTGAAGTGTAATTTCATCCACCTATAGTATCGGAAAGAGAAATATCTTAAGTGTCACCAAATGTATAATAAACACTGTGAACCTTTGAGCTCTTCATCACCTACAATTAAGTAATCACTGGTTAGGACAACTTTTATTTCAAGTTGTTCAAATCAACCAATTGTTTAATGTTCTGTAGATTCAGCTCCAATCAATGAGAAGGTCACATCGTCTCTTGTTTTATTCGCTCCTAATATACTAGAAATTCTATTAGTGAAGAAATGAACTAAAGCTATGCTTGTGATTAATATTATGATTCACGAAATTTACAATGGAATATATATTCCTATCTTACCCACCGAACCTTACTCGTTCTCTTCAAATTTATAAAATATGCTCACTTGTTTGTATAATTTTCATCACTGTCAGGCTTTGTTATTGCGCTACAAACAATCAAACTATACCAAAACAAAATGTTCCGACCACACCTGAGCTATCTGACTTATCTCATAACAAAAGAAAAGCACTGTATACTCCATATTGGGCTGTAGAAATCAAAGGAGGTGAAAAGGCTGCGCGTGCTATAGCCGAAAAATACGGATTTCTATATCTTGGAGAGGTAAGTGGTAATCACGTAACGGGCTATCAACACCGAGAAAAATCGTGCAATTTATTTTAAGTTGTAGGCAAAAGTTTTTCTCATGTGAATATGATTAACATCCGGCAGCTTTTGTACAAGAGCAGATTTATGTTACAGGTGAAGAAATGTCCATGGGCTCGATAAATTTCTATTCAGAATCTTGGCTATCCATACACCCAAGCTTTTTAATGAATACGAAATGACTTCGTAATGTGTTCATCGAGAAATTCTTCAGTCAACTAAAAAATTATAATCTCTTATGGGAAAACCGGCTTTTAATTGTAGGTTGGATTCTTCACTACCTATCCCACTCAGATCATAATCAATGGGCCTGTTTTGTTTGATGTATAAGAGTTTAATCGTGAATCCACTACATCGTCTTAAAACAGTCCTTCATATAAAGCTCTGTGTAAAGACTTCTTTATTTGACGTAGTTTAGAAAATATGAAACTCTTTATACTGGGTTTAGAAGCAGTAGGAGGTGTTGCAAAGATGTTAGTAAACCAAGAACTGAGTCCTGTTGAAACCCCAACAACATACCCAATAAATTCCGGTAGCTTTTCTCTTATCAGTCAAAATGGGAATGACAAGCGATTACACAGACGGGTGTAAACTAGGATTTTTTTTCATTCCGTCTCCTTGGGACAAGCATTAGTTGTCTAGCAGATCGTATACATTTTTATTATTAATTCACTTTTGTAAAATTAATGCATTCAAGTTGTATCAGTATATATATATATATATATATATATATATATATATATATATATATATCACAAAACGTGGTTATCTTCTGAAAACGGCGTCGTCATTATAATCATGAGGAATTTTTTCCGAAATTAATCCTTGGGTTTTAGGAAATCTTACAAACAGCTGTTTGTAAGTGCATTTTGGTTACAATAGTCGGCGCTTATTTTATTAGTACTATGATCCAACAGCATATTAACATGGATTTTAGTATTAAAATTTCATTTTTCATTTTATTTAATGTACTCGTTCTTAACTTTAAAATTTATTATCATGTTGCTTCGACTTCATTTCTTGTTGAATTTCATCAATAGTTTAGGTCTAAGGAAGCAAGTATTGTTTTATGTGTCAATTAATAGTTGCAAATATGTTTGAACATAACTTTTCGTTTGCCGTAATTCTTCTGCAGTGATGATGAACAATTACTCACGCTTGTTTGTTCGAAAATCTCCTAACCCAAAAAGTTTGTTAAGTGTATCTCGTCGAATCACCCAGTCCAGAGCATATCACCCATCGTTGTGTCCCTGCTGCATGGTGTTAAATCATAGGTAGAGATTATGAAAAGACATAGCTACTTCAGTTAGTTACGTCCTAGTGTAATTGAGGTTTTCCAAATACCTAATAAGTGGTGCCTAGTGTAAATCGACTAGTGAAGGTTTGACTCATAGGCTTAGGATAGTGCTGTCAGCTTTATGTTTCGGTACTAGCGTCCCAGGATCCCAGCATAAACGCGTACAGAACTTCAGATTACTTACTCTGACGGTAGTAGGCGACCAAGTCACACATAAATCGCTTACCTCTTCGAAGTCCCGAAGTTAATGTGCATCACTGGTTTTTAATCAGTGTTTATCAGTTCTCTTAGGTAGATTCTCTCCTATTGACTCGAACACTGAAGACTTGTGTTATCTCTCACTATTTTATAACATGTCACTGCCAAGTGGAGACAGTGTTAAAGACTAAAGTTAAGATGATCATTTAAAGTGTCAGACTTGTCGTGTTCTGATCACGAGAATGGTCGATAATTTCCAGATCTTCACATAATATGACATGCACACACATACCCACCGTTATATTTATTCCTTTTTTATTTTTAGGCATTAAGGGAAGCAATCTGATCAGATTGTTCAGCTATTAATTTCAAGCTCCTTTACCCAAAACAGGTGTAATATAATAAGTTAATGTCAAAATGAAAAGATTAGAGGGACAAAATAAAGTATTAGGCCAGTGAAACTTCGTATACACTTTTAGTAAATTGTTCATGATCAAATCTAGTTTCGCTAGTCTTATATAATCTAAAATTGAACATTTATAAGTGAAATGAGTAACATTTTATTCCCTATTATAGTCTTTTAAGCTCTTGAATGTTGTCTTTTATTATCCTAGTGAAATCAAAAACTAGTCTTAATAGTTCTGACAAATAGCGGTAGTATTACATAAATTAATTTTCTTTCCTTTGGCTCATGTTGTCTAGTCTGATTAGATATTTGTCTAGTGATATTGTGACTTAGTGATCAAAGCAGTCATCTTTCAATCACCAGATTCCGAGTTCACACCGTACTCAACTTACATTGGTTTCGGGATCTCAGTAACATAACCAGGTCTTGTAGATAACTGTGTTTCAAAGCTCAATGCACAAACTTATCATTAGTTGTCTGATTACATATAATCAAAGCTGTAGTCAATTAGCCTAATTTCTGGGTAGGGTAATCCTACTATTTTACTTACATATTTGCAATATGAATTGTATTCTATGTAGTGATATTAGGCCATATCATTTGGAAAGCTTTAAATGTTATCATATACTTTGGTTCAATTTTTAATCGTCTTATAAATTTATTCTTATAAAGCAACATCTATCATTATATTTTATGTAGCAACTATTGGTTGTGGCCATTTATTTTTTGTCTATGTTTTTATTTTAGATTTTACCTGGAATTTATCATTTCAAGCATAATCGTATTTCCAAAAGATCTTTGAGACAAAACAATTATTATCATGATCAATTAGCTAATGATGAACAGGTAGATTTAGTTTTAGTGTTCTAGATTGATGAAACTATTTTTGTTGTGTTCATTTGTTTGTCCATATGAATGCTTACTTTTCCGATATGGCAAAAATTATCGATCGAATTTAAATCATTATTCAACGGAATCTTTTGATGCTATTAATATTTAGTACTAAGAAATAAATAAAATATATCGTTCTCTAAGACATGAAGTTTATTGAGAATTCGTAATTAACTCCGTAGAAAGTAAATTTTGGAGTTAATTATCACTGAAGACGTCAACTAGAGAAGGATTAAACAGATTTCGTCATAATTCGACTCGATATTGCACATTACTAGAAAGTTTCGAAATGTGACTAAACACCAGTCTAGTAATACTCAGTATTTTCTATCTGAATTCATCTACTAGGGAAAATAAACTCCACAAATTTCCAGAACTTGAAAAAATAATTAACCTAATATCATCAGGGAATGGGAACTGCTGAGCATAATTTTTTTTATTAAACTGCAGTAACAATTATCAAAACTTAAGACATAAATGGGTTTTTCTTATTTTTTATTAGTCGTTTAGGAATTAAATTACAATGGCTTCAGAATAATACATTTCTGTCTTCATAGTTTAACAAATGTAAACGCAAATTGTTCGTATTGAGACATTTCTCATAATTATGTGATCAAGGCTCATAATTGTGAACCAGATTTAAGGCCTATGCAAGTGGAAAAATACCTATAAAATTAAAAAAACTCGTTTAAGTTTTTGTCACATGTCGCGAAATCTTACCTAAAAGAGTGTATTCCAAAAAGTGTTTCTTTTGTACATACTTCGCCTCTTGAAATTTCACAAATCTTGAATTGTGTACAAAGTGCGCTGATAATAAAAACAACAGTTTAAAAAGAAAAAATACCGTCTCATAAAACTTTGAGGTATTTGTTATATAAATAGACCTAATAAGGTACATTCAAGACAAAAATTATCTTTCATTTTTAGAAATGATAAAGTATATGAATTTATTATGTTTAGTGTTCTACTGAGAAACACGGATGTCCTGATAGGATAAGACTTTCAGTTAGTTAAAAATGAGCCATGTAGCTTATGTCGTTAATAATAGTTACTTTATTTGTAATTATATTACTGAATCCAATTTACTAATTATAGATTCCGATCATATTTAACTTGATACCAAATGGGAAGTGATAGTTCTGTTAAGTTTTTAATTTACTTTAGATGAAACACTATGTATTATGATTAGAGTATACAATATTATTTATTTCTGTTTAACGATATCAAAGATTCAGTTAGAAATATTGGACGATATATACCAGATGAATTTACACCTTACTTTATTTTGTACCAAAATTTATCCATTCTTTCTAACAATTTAACGTTTGTCTCCACAAAGTGTTATAAATTTAAAGTCTACTCTCTCTTCCCTCCTATAAACTCCATCTGCATACCTATGAGGACTTGCTAAGTACAGAAGTACTAGTATAAATACAGTTGTTGCTAAGAGTATATATGACACTGTTGACTTAGTGGCTTTGCGTATGCTAATTAATGAGCATCAATTATGAGCTCAACATTTCTCACTGGTACCTTTGGACTTTTCTGCACTATAGGTATGGCTTTTTAATATAAATTTAACTATGCTCACTGGCAGATTTGCAAATAGCACTATCCATTTTAATATTTCTCATAGGTGATTGGTCTTTATGTAGTCCGTCTTTAATATCTATATTTCGGGAGGAAGTTTACTAATTATGCAGGTTTAATCTCTTATTAAACTGCATATATAGTGTTCAGTAATTTATATAATTGTGTTGGATATGCTCAGTGATTTTAAATCTGTTCGCAAGTGTTACTAATTATTTTAAAATTTATGGCAGCTTTAAATGGAGAAAATGTCCTTTGTTTATAATAAGCCAATACGACAAACCTTTGCTAGTTACAAAATAAGGGTTTCGCCTTATGAATCATGTTAACGTAATAGATGTGTTGTGTCTTTGGCATTAGTTTTTAATAGGTGATTTATAATTATCTTTGTGGGTAAATTATACAGATTATGAATCCATCTGGTATTGGGATATCGGAAAACACTAACCATCGTTATTCACAAAAAGTAAAAGTCGTGTTAATAACGCATGTTCAGCGTAGAAATGATACAATTTCAATTTTTTGTAGCCAATAAAAATCATGTTGTAGTATACAACATTCATTGAGAAGTCTTGTTTTAATAGTTTTCATCATAATAGACTTGTTCATTCTGGTTGGCGATTTTTAGCAAGGTTGTTTACTACAGAATGGGGTTGCTGACCCCATGCCTAACCCTCCTCCTTTACCCGGGCTTGGGACCAGCAGTAGCCGTAGATGAGCTGCACGTAGAGTTAGAGCTACAGGACAGAGTTCATTGGAGCATACTGGTGGGTAGTCTATGCTCCTCCATGAGGGGTAACAGGCTTAAGTAAGTATAATAGACTTGTCATTCTGATCAACATTCAAATCAACACAAGACGTTGAACTTAGCATATATTATCAACTACTTCATGAAATATATAAACTAATATATAGTATTTTAATCAAGCAGGGATTTAAGTACACAGTTTTGAAGTACACTCGTAGTTTGTCCACTAATACTGTTCGTCTTCACAAACTGAAGTCAACGGGGTTGGGTTCGAAATTGTGTCTTAAAAGTTGGAAGACAGGTACTTTAACCACTAATAAATCTCTCCACATGACTACATTAAGGAATATTTGTCTGTGTTTTGTCCTGATACATCTTGTTCTTTGTACGCTTAGACACCGAATTCCTAACCACTTCCTAGTCTCCAGAAGTACTTTAATCGTGAACAGAAAACCGTGATAAGTGTAGAGGAAGTTTATAGGATTACGTAGTCGAGGGATTTTATAAGATTCTGGAACCCATTGAAACTGCCAACAACTCCAGCAACTGGCCAATCAGGATAAAGAAAACACGATTAACCAGTTTCTAGATTTTCTTGGTGGTTTCAAAAGACGTATTTTCTCCGTTCCTCCTGGCTTTTGAAGGTTTTTCCGAATGATTCTTGGGTAGTTATAACAGTCCATAATTACAAAAGGTATCTTTGAGTGGTCTAAATATACCATTTAGGACTCCGAACTAATTTAATCTCACGTATTTTATGATTAATTTGACTGATATTGCTCTGTTCTACAGTATCTCTTTGCAATACTTTTAGATTATGACTTTCATACTATAAGTTTATCTGGTTGTAAAAAGTTCACTTAGACTATTTATAATTAATGCTACACTACAATCTGTTCTTCTTCAGTAGTATAAAATATGTTTTTATTTTTTATTCCTGAATCATGTTGGTTTCATTTTTACTGATCAATATTTTTTGGTTAACATCTTAGAGTAGTGAGAATTTTCATATTCAGCTTCGTTGTTTTTATTTACAGTAAGCTCGTAGCAAAAAGTGGCTTCTGTTTAAATAAGATTAATATATACTTTTCTTTGAAAATAGTGAAAAACCAACTAATGATAAGATGTTGAAAGTTGTAAAATAATAATGCAAATGGAACGTGTGCAATCACACATACACACTGATGCTGATAATACTTATAACTAGGATTAAAAGTAAGCATTGTATTGTTAACCCATTCACATATATATATATATATATATATATATATATATATATATATATATATATATTACAGTCTGTTTTTAGAATAAGTTGCTAAACGATAAATTTAAATTTGTTTAACTTACTGCTGTGTTACCATTGTCTTCTTTCACCTACTTATTAAGAAATGTTGTTATATTTTTTTGAAATTGCCGCCAATTTTTGGGTTTTATTTGCAATATCGAAAAAGATAATGTCCTTTTTTATTTATGTAGTGAAAGAAAGTAGAAACAAAGGCTACATGAAGTGTTACCGGTTGTTATTAATATACTTTCTAAGTTATTTCTGACATAAATGTACAAATAAACATTCATTTCCGTAATAATTTTACAGCTTTTAATTCATAGTCTTTTCATAATATCAATTCAAACTCAAAAGAATTGAACAAATGTTGATATATATATTTAAACAACAGTGATATCAAGTCTATTTTTTATAGAATGTGTTTTTTAGACATTGTATTTGAGTATATAATTAGTTGGTTATATTTGTCAGTCATTGTTATTATTTTCCTTTTAATGTTTCATCATTAGTCACTTATAAAGAAACGCTATGTAGAAATTGTTAATTCGGATTGATTTTCATTGACCAGTTAACGGAACTTAACTAAATACTCACTACATCATATATTTTATTCACAACTTAATTGATTAATGAAACAAAATATAAAGTTAACAAAACCAAGATAAAACTAAGAGGGTAAACTTGGAGGAGAGAGAGAGAGGGAGAAAAAGGTAGAGAAAAGATGGAGTAGATATGTATCTACAATATGACTTACAACCAGATAAAAAATTAATATATTATACTACTGAGATAAAGTGTTAGTCTTAATGTCCAAATTGATGTTGTTTTAGAGTCCAAGAACCTTTTTTTCTAGTTATTCCATGAATAGGTTTGACAATTCATAAGTTTCTTTCGCTCTGCTCTTAAATCATTTAAAGTTCATGCAAGAGGCTTCTGTTGAGATTTAAAAGATAATTATTGCCAACTAATAACAAGTAAATAGAGATAAAATAGTGAAGCATTGCAATAGAAACATAGCATTTTATATTGCAAAATAGTTCATAACACAGTATGTAAGAAACATTTTCACACTGAAATTAACAAGTGGTACAAAATGATTAGGCAAGTATTCACATTTCACTAACTGTTTGAATGAACATAAAATTTTAAGGCTAATTAATTACAAAACTGTCCAAATCTGGTTACTTCTTAAAATGTAAAATCTATATAATCAAATTGTAGTATTATTAATTACTGTTCATGTCATTATAATTTCACAATGTTATTGATCAAATGTTTATTTGTAATATATGTCAGTACAGAAAGAGAATTCAGTTTGATTGTCAGAAA